TTTGGAGGGAAGCTTTCAGGTGGCACAAACAGACAACTTGGGCCCAAACCAAGGACAGTTCCCCAGAGTGCAAGCTGTCTGGTCTTGTGAGCGCCTTAGGAAAGTGAAGAAAAAGGATGATGACCATTAGCTACCAGTACTTACTTACATGGATCTCTCCCATCTGCTCCATTAAACTCGTAATATATATATCAGTTCTGCATAATTTTCTAATAATGTACTTTGATTTTTTCCAACTAATATCTCCACAATGGTTGATGTGTAAGATATCATTCTCAAATATTCTGAGTCACATACTACACAAAATTCTAACCCAGGTTACTATGGTCTGTGGTGAATTCACTTTAAAGCTCTTTAGCTCTGTGTCTAATGCAAATACTAATGTCTAACGCAAATACTAAAAATTAGTGACAGTCAAGCAATAGACCTAAGAAATAACATAGAATAGTGATTCAGAACATGACCTGGTGGTTAGAACAGAGTTCGGATTCTGCTTGATTCACTTATTGTTTGTGTGACGGAGCTGTTTATCAGTCCTTAATTTCTAAGCCCTAGTTTCCTCATCAGTTAAGATGAAATAAAATGTCCTTTGGAGAAGAATTAGATGATTGTAATATTTACCAAAGTACTTTACCAAATTTTAATAGCTTTACCACTATTATTATTTGACAATTTTGGAAAACAATTAATTTAAAATAATCTTAATTTTTGACAGAAAAATTTTAAAAACAAATTACTGTTTAATTTTGACAAATATAATTATACCCACATACAACATTAACCCTTCATTTATTCTTTTCAAAAATTCTACATGCCAGGCACATTTCCATCTCTTAGGAATATGCCTTCAAATGATATGCCTTAGTCTTTGTACCTTTGGAGCTTCTCTTTTAGTAAGAGGACAAAATAAGCATAAAATAAATAATATTTTAATTTTGAAGTGCTGTGATGAAATAGACACCCTTCCCAGAAAACGACTTTAACAAGGAAAGAAGAGAATACTATATTTTGCATAAAGACATCAGAGAAGTCCTTTTTAGCCATGTAATAACACAATCCCCACCAGTGGCACATATATGACTTATTAGACAGCTTGTACCACTGGTGGTACAAATGAATCCGATCACTTTCATTGATCTTTTATTAATGAAATTAATTTTTTAAAAACTTACCTGATGGGACAATCATACATGTAACACTGGTGGTTTAGACCACCTGGCAGAGAAACGTAGGGATACAGCCTCACCGTGGATGTAGTTATGCAGAAATCAGTTTACCAAGCGAGACAAGTGAACACTAAAATTGTCTGCCATCAGTTCCAGTCATAAATACTGTTACATGTTCCCTAAATATGAAGAGATATGTCATCTGTTCTGTTCCATGGTAATGCTCTTTCATTCATTTCCTGGCTGTGTTTAACTTAAAGAGTACTGGAGACACTTCTTTATATACTTAGCCATACCAGATCTTGCTATTCAGATAAAATAGACATAGTGAAGACAGTATTCTCAGTGCTACCCCAGGGAGGAGACAGAAAGGAGATGGAAAGGAGGTGAAAGAAGACTTGCTTTAGCCTCCCGCTGCTACCCATTTTAGCTCCTAGTCACTGGCTTTGTGCGATGAACCCCACCATAGGAAATACGCATGTCTTGTGGCCTTTTGTGGGCTTTCGTTGTAACCGAGTGCCGGGTATTTTGTTAAATCCTTTTCATATATCAGCAAAAACACTTGACTCTCAGGTTTTGGAAATTCTGACCTAGTGATGACTGAATGAATGGGTAATGTCTTTTCTGGTTTGTCCTGTCTCTCTGTCTTGATTGTTGCCTAGTGGAGTTGATTCGTAGTTTTTAAGTCAGGCACTCAAGACAGTCTTTTGTGAGAAGAGCTAAAATTTTTTGTGTTTTTATCCAGCTGTATGACTGAATAAGTCAACTTCTCTAAAACTGGTTTCTTTCATATTTATTTAGACCCTTCTTAGAAAAATTCTGTTATATAGATTTATAAAATATTGTATGCTCAGGATTCTAACTTAGATAAAAGTAATCACTGTTGGATATTTGGAAAGATGCTTATTCGTGTTTTGTACTTCCAATGGAAGCAGACACTTGAGAAAATCTTACATGTAAATCCAAAGCTGAGGACAGTAAGTGAAGCTGAGGTTTTTGTTTGTGGACTAAAACATTGTTGTGATACCTTCTGTGGGAAGAATCTTGAAGTTGGAATTGGCACCAACTTTATCATATCACTATTACTGATTTTTTTAAGTAGTATTTCTTGGTTGTAGAGAAATTCCGGGTGATTTTATATTTTCTTGTCTTCACCCATATACACATAGCCTTGTGTGGTCTGAAAAAATAAGCGAATCAAGAAAATTTATTCTGATAGACTTTTAAAAAAGAGCAAACAGATCAGTCCTGAATCCTGGGTTATAATTAAATGTTAACATGATTCTAGGCAGTGTGGTTCAGCCACTCTATATTCAGCCATATTTTAAAATTCACTGTTCCAAATCACTTTGCTTGTATTAACATATCTCATCCCCACAACATTCTGCAGATGTGGAAACTAAGGCACGATGATGGTAAACCTAGACATCTACCCTCTTCCTCTTGCCCACTGTAACATTGATTTTTTGTTTGGAAACTGGAATCGAACTCAGGATCTTGCACTTGCCAGACAGGCACTATGCCATTGAGCTATATCCCCAGGCCTAAGACTGGTATTAACCATAGTACCCACTTTAAAATACGGTGTAATTTAACCCAAGTATTTATAAAAACTACCTTAAACACAAAAATTAGAAGATATTGGTGGAGGAGCTAGTTTCCAGTTATTAAGAGGTATGTGTCTATAAGTTAGAGAAAATGGAATATTAACATATGGAAGTGAAATATTTAGCTAATTATGTGAAAGAGTAATACTACTTTAGAAAATAGTTTGACACAGTACCATACCAATAATAAACTATTTTCCCTCATCCAATAAAGACTGGCCATTATACATTTTATTTTCTACTTGTTTTAATGTTTAAAAATTTGACAGTCATGGAAATATGAACCATCATTTTTTTACCCTACCGACATGTTTTACCAAGTGGGTAAATAAATATATGCCCTCTCTTTGAGTAATTCTTTGGCATAGATTATAATTCACTTTAATCAGTAGATAAATACCTATTTACAAGTATTTGTGTTCATAAGTCAGATTGGTAAAAGTTTCATAGGTGAATTCACAAATTCTATACTTTCTTTTGAGTCCCCAGGTCACATGGAGAACCACCTTTTAAGCATTTAGCCTGTTACTATTTGTCCAGAAAGATTTCCACCAAACCCTTCCTAATGCAAATGCATCAGCTTTGTTCCAACTCTCTTTGGTGGTAGCTATTTTTTTCCCCACGATGAACTAGTGTTGTGGGGTCGGGTAGGAAGAAGTTACCAAGGTATAGTTGATAGCAGCAGTTTAATTGGGTTCCATTAAAAGCGGTTCAAACTTAGGAGCTGTATTTCCTATAAATATTGCTGTTAATCTCTTTAGAACAGGATCCATTCTGAATTTGTGTGTTTATCTTGTTCTGCAGAAATCTGTAAATAATTTCATTTATGTGATTCAAGAATGTTGTATGGTATTTATGTCATCAGACAATAACTTGTGCACAGAACAAATGAGAGCATGAGGACAGCTTTGAATTAGTATAGCAAGGAGAAAGCACAGCTTGAACCTGGAGAGGTAATGCAGTACGTTCTACGCTGAGCACCTGGCTTGCTGGCTGCATAGGGCAGCCTCAGTCTAGGCCCTAGAAGGAAGAAGACGGTTTCTCAGTCGTGATTTGTCATTTCTTTTGGCAGCTAGCACACTATTGAAATATAGTGTTAATCACAAAATAGTGTATTTGTGATACAGATAGCAGGTTTTCCTTTCATTTATACTACGATTTTTGGGGGGGGGGAAGAAAATTCATGTCTCTAAAATCTGGGATAGTATTTTCTGAACTTTATTTCAAATAACACTGGTGTAGCAAGGTGCTAATAGATGTTAATTTTTTTTTTATAAAAAAAGGTTAATCAAATATTAGATAAAATTTTGTTACTATGTGTTCAACAAGCCAAGTGTGGTGGTACATACTTGTAATTCCAGCAGTCTGGGAGGCAGAGGCAAGAGGACAGAAGTTCAAACCCAGCTGGGCAAAGTTGGCAAGATCCTGTCTCAGCATTTAAAAGAGGCTGGATGTGTAGCTCTGCGAGAAAGTTCCCGGGGGGTGGAGGGTAGGCTGGGGTGGGTGGCTGATGGGGGGTGGTGGCGTTCTGTTAACAGTAGCAGTATTGAGAACTTAATGGTGTGTTACTGTGTGAAGCTCTAAGAGGGATTGTATACTGTATTGATGCTACATACATCTAGTGCTTCTCAAACCTCTTTCACTAAGTATATTAATCAAAGGAAAGGTCCCTGAGCAGGAAACACTTTGGGAAATAATGCTCCGTACTAGGGATTCTTAGCCTTAGTCGTTGTCATCTTGGGACAGGTGGCTCGCTGTGTGGTCAGTTGGAGGGTGTTTTGCAGAATGCCTGGCTCTGCCAGGCAGTGCTGGGGGCAGCTGTCAGTCCCCATCCTTGCTCTCTCTAGCCTTGCTAGATGTCCTCCAGGGGACAAAATCTACTTCAGAACTACTGCTCCAGGTTCACAGTGCAACGTTCCAGGTTTATGGATAATTTCTATCTGACGTTTTCCTTTATTAAAGAAGATGCAGTGGCTGGAAAGTGGAACACAGATTGGAAAGATTTAATATTATCCGCCAAATAAACTTTCTAGGTCCAGTTTATATCCTGTCTCCATTTTCTAGTGATCAATAAGTGATGAACTTACTGCAAAAAATAATTTCAAACATTGTAAAACATTATATGGCAGGGACATAGACTATATAATTAGTATATTGATATACAATATTATTAAGAGTCCAAATGCTATCCATTTCTAAAATTTATCTTTTCCCTTTTTTTATGCAGGGATATTTTCTTCTTTTTGAGTCTATGTTAGATTCTGTCCTTCATGCAAAGAACAAATACTTGATAAAAGGAGGATCAGGTGAGTATAAAATTTTATTGTTAATAATCTAATTTTAGTCTGGTAGAACCAAATGAACCTTTGAAATTCAAATAAACTATGCATGGCTGAGAGACTTCCCAATGGAGATGAAAGATGTTTCCATTAGAAGAAGCTTTATGACATCTGTTTATTATATTGTTGAAAGCAGAACATTACATGAGGTATATAGAACTCCAGACTAATGGTATTTTCAAGAATACTTACTTTTGTTTTTTAATCAGGTTTTGGAAGGTTTTTAATGTTCAAATCAAAATTTAACACCTTTTCAACTTTAATCCTCATGATATCTACTTGGGTTTTTTTTCCACTAGCATATTTCATGCTACTTTGGAGACTATTGACTTTAATGGCAAATGTTCGTAATTTTAGTTAATACATAAAGCTAGCTTCTCTGTGATTTAATGATAACATTTAAACAATGACTCCTTGTTTAGAGCACCATATACCCCACAATTACATAAATGCATAAAAATGTGGAGGGTTTTTTCCACATCTGTGGAAAGCGTTTTATCGTATTAATGCTGCATCCACAGAAGAGAGTATGTTTTACAGGGTTTAAGTTTTGTTCACCTGTATCACTTCAGTGAACTCCACAGCTACTGGAACATGAGGGAGCAGCAGAGTATTTGCTGAACTGAGTCTTTAGAACCAAGTAGAATCCCATCTGTCCCCTTCACTTGGCTCTCTTCACACCTTCCTTTTCTGAGTTCCAGGATAAATGGTTTCAGTGGTCTGCAGACAGCTGGTAAATGTTACGTAAAAATAGATGGAAAGAAAGTGTAAGGTTCAAGTAATGACCTTGTCCATGGTTGTACCTCCTGCCCGTTAGTATTCGATGAAATTCCTTTGACAGTTGCACAGTTGAAAATCAGTGAGGCCCAAAACAAAGAACAGAGAATCCAAAAATGACAGTTGTTGAAGGTAGATGGGCACATGAGAATTACTGCATGGTCTTCTCTGGTTTTCAGATGAAGAGGTTTTTGGGTAGGGCAGGAGTCTTTGAGACAGTCTCACTATGCAGTTCAGGCTATTCATGGGCTCGCTTTGTAGCCTAGGCTGGTCTCAAACTCAGAAGATCTTCCTGCATCAACCTCACTAAGTATTGGGATTACAGGCATGTGCCACCACATCTGGCTACAGGGTGAAGTTTTTTTTTTTTTTTTTTTTTTTTTTTTGTTAATCTTTTTTTTTTTTTTCTTTTTCCTTTTTATCGGTACCGAGGATTGAACTCACGACCACCTGCTTGCAAGGCAGGTGCTTATGCCACTGAGCTAAATCTCCAGCCCCCAGGGTGAAGTTTTTAAAACTATAATCCAACTGGCAGGCTTTTCTAAACACGCTGTTCCTAAAATTTACATGACGAGTAGGTGTGGTGGTGCATGCCTATAACCTGAGCACTTGAGAGGCTGAGGCAGAAGGACTGCTGCAAGCACAAGACCGGTGTGGGCTGCACAGAGAGTTCTGCACCAGCGTGAACTACATAGAAAGACCTTGTCTCACAAAACAAAACAAAACAAAACAAAACAAACAAATGAAATTAAATTTGTATGGAAAAGTAAAGAAGAATAGTAAGGAAATCTTTGAAATAGTCTTTGGGGTAGCAAAGGTATAAGAGGAATAGTGTTATCAGATATTAAAATGCATAGTAAAACCTTAAGTAGAACAGTGTATTTATTAGTAATTCTTGATTGAAGACATGAGAGATGAATTTAAGGAAATGAAAAATCCTCATACAGGCACAACTATACATGACATCTCACATAACCAAGAAACTGGTTTTCTAAGCACATAATGTTCCTTATAACTCTAGCACTCTGCAGGCTGAGGCAGGAGGATTTCTTGCACTCAGGAGTTCAAGACTAGTGTGAGCAACAGAGCCAGATCCTATTTGTAAAAGAAAAGCGTAATTTACAAAATAAATTGCATACTGTAAATTTCAAGAAGTCAGATTAAATGAAACAAACAGAAAAATAATTTATTAAAGTCATACAGTAGGTTACAAAGTTTGTGTTGGAATTGGAAAAGCAGGCTGAGTGAAAGGTTATATATGTAGCTAGAAAATGCTCAGAATCACCTTACAACTTTTCTAGCATTAATGCCGTAATGCTGGACACAGGCAGACAGGTAGCACTGCTGATCTTGTCAGTGGTAGACGTTGCTGCTTCTGAAAATTAGACACAGCTTCTGGTTTGTATCGTGAGTGGAGCTGTGGTCATGTCCTAACCTCCTAGAGCAGTAGGAAAAGTGGGTTTCTGTCATTTCCTGCTTCTATAAAGGAAGTAACCCTGCCGTGTAACAGAACAGCACACAGACAGTCTGAGGAGCAGGAAAGTAGAGTGTGCAGTAGACAGCATGCACTCACAGCTCTGCCTTGCAGCAGGACTTCCCATTGTGGTTGGCTTTGGAAAGTCTGATCCGTGCTCATAAAATTTTTTCCTGTTATGCATTCCGTATCTGCAAAGATACTTCACATTTTCTACACTTCTGCATAGATTACCTCAAATATAAATAATCACGGACACTAGTTTGTAGTGCTTAAAAATTTCTTTTAGTATTTCCGTAATTCATTATTTACTTAATTCTTCTGATTTTTTCACATTTATTGTGTCAGTGGTGTTCAGTAATACTGTAATGGTACCCTGTTGTACTTCTTTTCAGTATACACTTTTTCAAAGCATCTGCATCTTAGTTTAGCTACGCTCTAGTGGCCTATGCTATTTATGTTGATGGATGCAATTTCCAAGTTAAGTATTGCTCAGTTCTCAAAGATTTCCTTACATAAAACAAAGTAGTTAAATTTATTTAACTCCCGCAGTATCTGCTAATTTGGTAACTGTATAGTACATTTTCTTTTATACACATCAAGTATTTTGCTATCATTTATTCTTAATTCACCAAAATCTTTTTATTATTCTATATATTGGGAAAATCACACTTTGTTGTTGACTTATTTTTGTTCTAGGTGTTTTTCTGTGTGGCTATTTATATACAAGCTGTGATACTGGTGTTTACTAGGAATCATGTTTTTGCACATCTCAGTACTGTCCTTTAGTATTCAAAAGTTTGTGAGGCATTTCGAAGGGATGAAGGATTTCCCGTATCTGTCTGTTCGCCATGTTAGCTGTTCCAGTGACAAATGAATTCTGGGCAGTGAATCGAGAAGGACACAGATGTCAAAGCCATGAATTTATAAATGGTCTGTTAAGAGGGTGCTTTTGTCTAGTCAGCGTTTCGTTAATTTTACCTACAAGCTGGAATAATTATTCAATTACAGTTTCTATCTGACAAAAATCTAATGAAAAATGTGTCAGAATCTGAAGATAAAAGGTCCATCAGGATTTTGGCAGGAGGCCCAAAATGGAGGCAGCAGTGTAGAGGTGGAAGTAAACCCAAATTGGCCTAATAACACTGATTACAATTTTTATAAATATTCATGGATCTTACTGAGGCATAAATGATTTTGTTTTTAGGTTCTAAAATATAAGAATTGTGATTTTGTATGTTTTTTTAATATAACAAGCTTAAAAATGTACCTTGACTCTAGAAAAAGTAAAATCATATTCTTTAGTATGTTTTGTCTTATTGCCAATATAGTTTAAAAACTGTTTTCTAATTTTCAGAACATAGTGTGAAAAAACCATCTTTTTTTAATCATATAACTGATATATCACATTGTTTGATGTAGAACCAGATATCAGCACTCTTTTTCTATAAAAGGCCCGATAGTAAATATTTTCAATTTCATGGTCTTATGGTCTCTATCTTAGCTCTGCTGGCTGCTGTATCACAGCTACGGATACTATGTAAACAAATGTAGCTGTATTCTAATCAAACTTACAAAAACAGCCAACTAACTGAATTTGACGAGACTGATTAAAAATTTCTGTTAAGATTTTTAATAATATTCTAGTGTAGAAAAACTTTATGAATATGCAAAGTAACTTAAATGTGCAGTCTTTGGTGGGGTATGGGGCTCCCATAAGCTATACCATAAGTGGCCCTCACTGAAGGAGGTCAGTTTGGTGGCCCTGATAAAAACCACATCAGTCATTTCTCTCATCTCTTATCAAGGGTATCTCATCTGGCCTGCGTCCTATTTGTAAATAAAGTTTTATTGGAACACAGTCACGTTCATTTGTTTATGTATTGCGTATGAAACCAGCAGCAGCAGAAAGTAGCACTTTCTGCAAAAAAACATTCAGCCCATAAAACCTAAAGTAGTAACTTTACAGAAAGCCATTTGCTCACCCCTACTGTACCCTCATTGTGATCCTCCTTTCAGTATGAAATTTTAGGGAACCCTGCTGGAATGCCTCTGTGTTTGTCATTTTAGTGTTAAGAAAGGAATATGAAGAAGTTAGCCAAATATCTGACTGCTTCAGGATTCTTATTCTTTGCATTGTTTTTCATCTTAAGGACCTTACCTAGGAAACTAAACGACTTTCCTGTAGTTGCTTCTCTTGCTGGTTAGCATTTCGTACAGCAAATGAGTTACTCTGAAGAATTTGTATCGACCGGGAGCCTTTACCTGTTTGTGGGGCTAGCGAAGGTGGAAGTAACTCAGGTTCCACAGCCATGGACCAGGGCCCGGGGCACCAGCCTCATGGCTCTGTTGTGCTGATGAGAACCCTGTCGCTGACATAGTGCGCAGTGTGTTTTCTCTCAGTTCCCAGCACATCTTGTCATGAGGTTTTTGGAGGATATATGGGTACTGTAATTACTGAATAATAAAATTTCCAGGGCTGTGGATGAAAATAAAATTTAGAAGGAGAGGGGGGTAATTTCCATTTAAATCTGAAGCCCACTTAATAATCGTGGTGATTTTTGCATTTCTTTGATACATTTGTATTCTCTATTGGTTAGGAACATAAGATTTAATTTACTGTATTCCACGAATTTCCTAAAAGTTGCTATTTATGATTGTCTTGGTTACTGTTTTCTTGTTGCTGAGACAAAATATCTGACGCCCAGAGTGAAGAAAGGGAAAGTTTTATTTAAGCTCACAGTTTGTGGAAGTTTCAGTCCATAATCAGCTCGCTCCAAGGTAGAATGTGTGACGCAGCCAGAACAAAAGTGGAGAATAAGCCTCTTCTCCTTTATATTGTACCCAGGTCACCCTCCTCACCCCCTGCTCCAGGGCCGGTGTAGCACTCACACCATCTCTGTGCCCTCCTCTTGCATAGGCTGAGGATATTTACAAAGTAAGGATCCTGGCTCCCTGCCGAGTCACTAAAACTTATAAACTCAAGTCAACACCATGTATCAACCATAACAAGTGATATTCAAAGGAAAAATTAGTTTTATCACAAAAAATTGTTTTTTTTTTTAAATTTGTATCATAAGGAGCTTTACTTGTGGGTTGTATCTCAGTAGAGCACTTGAAGCCCCTGCCCTACCAAAAAGAATAAAAAAAGAAAAAACTTGGCATTTTCTTCCGGAATCACTTTTTCCATAACTCTCCCAGCCTTTGCTTTCCCCTTCCAGTGGCTTCGCCCCTTGCTCCTTCTGTATATCTGGGAAATTCTGGTGGTCACCGTGGAGTCGCCCTCGGTCTCCTGAGCTCCCGTTACTTTCATTCCCATTTGTGTGCTCATGCTTTCCAATATCACAGGCCCAGCGCGTTCCTTTTGGATTTCAGACTTGTGTTTCAGCTCTTTACTGAGTGTTTTTATCTGCTGGTGCTGCAAACGGTAAGCTTTCGTATTCCTCTGGAATCTGCCTGTGTTTTTTCTTACTGTGAAGTTTAACAGGACAGACTGTCCAGTTGCCAAAGCTTGACGCTCACCTTGACTCTTCTTTGCCTCTACAAGCAGCCTGTCTCAGAGTTCTAGGGGTTCCGCCTCCTAGCTGTCCCTTGAGTGATGCGTCTTCTTTCCAGTCACAGCCCTCAGCCTCATTCTTATCTCGTGGACTACAGCTATTTCTTTGTTTTTCTTTCAGTCTAGCATCTTCCCAATCATTCTGAACATTGCGCTCCAAATAGTTTTTCTAAAACCACAATCTGATTGTGTTGCTACTCTATATGAAAATTTTTGCTGGGTTATTATGATTTACTGATACAGTTTGCTCTGGTGCCTTCCTCACGTCTCTGACTAGGTTGTGTGTAAGGCATGGCATCTACTAATTGTGACCTTGTGTGCACTGCTCATTCTTGCGACAACACGCTTCCCTCCCCACTGTTCCTGGGGTTTCAGTTTTACCTTACTGGTAGCCCTGTTCCCTGGCTTCCTCCAAGTTTGAAATCACTGGTTTTGAGCTTCCATAGTACCTTGTTCTGTCTCTTTCTGAGTAATTGTCATCTTGTTTCCTGATTGTCAATTGTCAGTTGTTTCTTGAAGGCAGGGACATACGTCCACAGACCTCACATTAGACTGGTACATACATTGGCATGTTCTTAATGTTCTTAATTTGCTTTTATATTGAGTAAGAGGATAATATGAACTGGTCTTCAACAAAACTGTAAAGTTAAATTTAATTACGTGTTTTACATTGCTGCATATCTATCTGAATGATTGGTCTCTTTCTGCATTTTTAGTGGAATATATGGAATAAAGATTTAGTGACTAAAATCAGCATATTTTAAGTTTTAATATTACTAAGTTTATGTTTCTGGGTGATTAATTTTATCCTGTTTTCATACTTTTAATGAGTCCATAATTGGAATCCTGTTTTAATTTTGCCCTCTTGATAATGGGTATATTTTTAAAAGAGCCCATAAAAAGGAACTGTGCTGTTCTCCCTGACCTTTACCTTCGTTAATTTTCCTTTGATAGTAGTGTATACCAATGGATTTGGTGTGTGTGTGTGTGTGTGTGTGTGTGTGTGTGTGTGTGTGTGTATGAAAATATATATATATGTTTTAAAATTTATTCTCGTTAAAGGAGATGGTACTACATAGCTGGGCCTTTTGTTCACAGTCTACCCTGACATTTGCACCATCAGCCTTGTAGCAGTGAGTGATGTGAATAAACACGCTGATAGAATTGATTTCTGGGACAACGTCTATGGCTTCAACATGTCCTGCATGAAGAAAGCAGTTATTCCAGAAGCAGTGGTGGAGGTTATAGATCCAGAGACTCTTATTTCAGAGCCTTGTGATATTAAGGTAAGTGTTTTGTCAGTTTTATTTTAAATAAAAGTATTATTCTTTTTCTTAGTTCGTTATTTGAGGTCAGTGTTGTCACAACTCTGTGAGGGTTGGTTCTAGGAGCCTTGTGGATACCAAAATCCAGTGTTGTTCAGATTCTTGCAATATAAATGTTGTGAAAGTAGTTTCCATACTTTATTGTTGAGGGAATAATAGAAAAAGTAAAGCCTATACGTGTTCTGTACAGGCACACCTGTTTTCAAATACAAATTTTAAATTCACAGTGGTTCAGTTAAAGGATGCAGGACTGTAGAAGCAGAGCACTGACTTTATTTTGTATGTGGACCTTGAAAGCAGCTTCACTTAGTGTCAAATAACTTGAGGCCATAATACCACCTGATTCCCATCTGTTTGGAATTCTGTTTGTGTTTTTAAACTTGTTTACTCGGTTTTATAACCCTTCACCGGTAACCCTGAACTAGCCAACTCGTAACTTAGCTTTTACTGTGGCTAAGTTACAGTAGAAAGTCCTGCTGGATCACCACCTCTGCTTCACTACCTCCTGGTTTGATTCTAGTGTCCTACAGCACAGTATTCACTTATTTGAATTTCTCTTATTCAAATGTCTTGTAGCCTTCTAAGATTAACTAATTACAGTCAATTTGCCTCTGAAGTGTAAGCCATATTGTGCTGAAAGTTTTGAATTAATTCCTGTGGTATTTCATTATTTTTTTTACCATGTTAAATTGATTTTATCTTGAATTTTTGTTCATTCTATATGGTCTCAGTTGTAAGTTTGTTCAGTGTTAGATTTAGAATATTGTCTCCTCATTTTTGTGATGTTAGTGCTTAGTATTATTTTTATAGCAACAGTAATTGGCCTTTGCACAAAGTATAAATATTTATTAAGTTTATTAAAGAGATAAGGATTAAAATCAAGCACTTAGCAGTGTACTCTTAGCTTCAGGCGGGGAACGCATCCATCCTGAGCATCATGTGTGCAGGTGGTATTTCAGCTGATCAGTCCTTGTATTGAATAAATTTGATAAAATTACAATTTTTGTATTTCCTGTTATTTAATAAAAACAAAATATATGGAATTTTTGGTCAACCTGTACTTAAATAATGGGACTAGCAAAGAACTGACAGAGAATAATAAGTAAGATGTTTCTCAAGAAGCACAAGCTGATGTAAGTGCATTCAATGTTTAGAAATGAATCAGAAGCGCAGCCCAGCTGATGATTACAGGATCACTTGGTGCCTGGCCCACTGGCAGTTGGGGATTTACATGGCTTTCTGCCTTGGGGAAGTCATGTGCAGTTGTAGTCAGGTCACCTTTAAGGTGGAATAGAAAGAGAAGAGTTGGGCAAGTTAGTTCCAGTTTCTCCCTCTCGTGATCTTTTTGTTTAATCCCAAAACTATTATGAATAAATAGCTGTAATAGAAAATTTAAGACTGAAAAACAAAAGTATTTAGTAAATATACAGCTTTTCTTTAAAAGTGTCATTTGTTTTAAGTCACTATCAGTTGTTCTGTGTTCCCCAGGGTTCCTACAAATAAAAGGTAACCACACTATACCTTTTTTTCTCAAACTGTTTTCTATACAGTGATGCCTCGTGTGTCCTCCTGGACTTGCATTCATGAGGTCACAACCAATGCATTCAGCCAGTGCAACCCTTAGAGCACCAGGTCCTTGAACTGTGGTTGCTGAAAGGGGATTTCTTCCCAATCCAAAATGCAAAATTTGAACCAGAGCAGGACCTGAAAATAAAGATACATGACAATTTTTTTTTGGTTTTGCGAACTGGAGAGTGAACCTAGGACCTTTGCACTGAGCTACATCCCTAGCTCTGGTTTTGCTCTTTTGTTTGAATTGTGGTTTTTCTCCCTAAAATCTAACATTTAAATGTATCTTTAAATATATCAGAAATGAATTTTAAAACAATTTTAGTATATGTCCCAACTTGCCATTTCTTCTGAAAGTATTTATTGTTAGTTTACTGTGAATTACATTTAATTTACAGCAGAGATACTATAGGTGACATGCAAAATTTTAGATAATACACAGAAAAACATTTCTATTTGACAGTGTTTATTTAGTTTGTCTCAGGAAAACTAGCAGATCAGTGCCATGACTTGATATACATTATGGCTTACAAGAATTCTTTAAGTGAAAGATACTCATGTGATTTGAAGAAAAATTAAATGATAGACCTCAGATACTCCTTAAATTTGAAAATAATCCCCAATATGGTGTGTGTAAATGATTAAATTCTACTAAATACTGGCTTCTAGTAATCTTTCTGTGCCTAAAGAAAGAGTATTTTTCTATTCTAAAAAAATATCTTGCTAATTTCTTCCTTTCTCTCCTTTTTAATGAATAGCGTATAGATTGCCATACAACATCTATTTCAGATTTGGAGTTTTCTTCAGATTTTTCCCTAAAAATCACAAAGACATCCATGTGCACGGTGAGCTATTCCCTTTACTCTTCAGATTTCACTAGTAGTGGGTTGATTGACAAACTAATGAATTAATTACCAGGCTTAGATAAATGAAAACATCTAATGCCTTTGACAAACTTTTTTGCCTTTGCTTGGCCATTTAGGAGGTCTATTTTAAGAAGTGGATAGATGTCACAAAAGTTAGTTTGATTGCAAAAGTATTAAGAAGTCATGTTAACATAATTTTTCCATATATATTTCTTTTTACTTGTCTTACAATTAATCAGAAGCATTTTAGTTTATCTTGTAAAACAAAAATTCATATCCTACTTCTTCCAGTAATTCTTAACGCTTAATTTGTATATTAATTCATGTATGAAAAATACTGATTTAACTTTCTTTAAGGAGTGAACCTGACCTAATAGAAAAGATGAAGGCTTTTTACAAGTTAGATCTGTGTTCACATTTGGTTCTCCCATTTACTTGTTTCTTTGTTCAAGTTACCTGGGTTCTGTAATATGTAACTCAGACTAGTCAACTGCTTTCAGAAAAATGGCAATAATTCTACTCATTGATTAGTTACATGGATTAGTTAGTGAGATATTTGAAGGTACCTACAGTGAAGCAGAAATGCCATGTTTTTATAACCTCTTTTTTTCCTGCATTAAGTAATTTCTAAATATTTAGTAATTTTAAGATAATCTTTACCAGGAGACCCAGAACGTTAATGGGCTTTACTTAAGAAGGCATATACATAGGCAGTAGTGATGTGAATATTTATCTAGTGTTTTACTTAGGGATTTTAAAATTCTGATCCATCCTTAAAAGTTGAAATTTGAATGGAAAATTGTATTGTTAGAAACTACATAGAAATCAATAATCATGTTAATTCATGTTGATTTTTTTTTTTTTTTTTTTTTTTTTTTTTGGTCTTTTTGGAGACGGGGTCTCGCTTATACAGTTTAGGCTGGCTTTGAGCTCACTTTGTAGCCCAGGCTGGTCTTGAACTTGCAATGATCCTCCCACCTCAGCCTCCCAAGTGCTGGGATTACAGGCATGAGCCACCACGCCCAGCTCTTCATGTTGATTCTTTAAGCTGGTGATTTTAAATATTTTGTTCAGATTGACACGTAAAAGATTTTATGGTTCTTTTAAAATTGTTTGTTAATTTTGTTCCATTAATTACTGTATACCTACATGACTAACACACAAGGTGCTTTGATAATTTTAGTGATTTTCTTATTGAAATTGGTTTTATAATTTAAAAAATAAAGTCCTTACTTCTGACTTTGGGGTATGTGCCAATGATACTCATTTATTTAACCTAGTTAATGAAAAACAAAATTTTATTTCCCTCAGCCTTAAGTCATTTTGGTTTTAAGTCCTAGACTTTCTCCATGTTTTGATACTGTAACCTTTGAAAGGTAAAAAAAAAAAAAAATTCATGAAAATTGATTGATCTGTAAGAGAATTCTTAGAAATTATTCTGTCGCCAATATTTTAAAATAATATTTCAAATCTATTTTCAGTGATGTTATGGCTTATGTTTAGTGTAGTCTTAGGTGGGCTTTTTCAGAAGTGGCTGAACCTAGAGTGTAGAATTCTGGGGTTATAGGTGTGTGATTACTGAATTGGTCCACTGATCGGTTTGCCATCACCCTAATCCTATTAGCCTGGATACAATGTAAGAGAAAGACATTTGGCTTCTTCCCTTGCTGCTTTTGCTACCTCGTGGGTGCCTTGAATGTTGTCCTCTGTGACACCTCTCTGCCATGTGCCAGCCTGCATTGGAGGCAGCCAACTAAGGACTGAAACTTCTACAAACTGTGAGCTAAATAAACCTTACTTCCTTTAAGGCATTTTGCCTCAGCAGTGAGAGAAAAATAACTAAGACATGTGAACTCTTCACATAAACTAGCACAACTCTATCACTTAGGGAAGATTATAATGTGCGTAATTTACCAGAAACACCACTAATTTCCCATGTATATTCACCAAATACTTATTAAACGTCCCTAGTTTAGCAGAAACAACAGTTTCACACCGTACTTACCATCCAAGCTGCTGTCTTTAGCTTGCAGGAAGAGAGGACGAAATGGAAGGTGGTAACTGTTTGGAAGGAGAGGCCCTTCCATAGGGACATCAGGAATCTGGTCCCTGGTGTCCTCTCCTCGGGAGACCTGATTCTGGCTCACTTGGTCTGAGCCTTTTCAGAACTAAAACCTGGTCTAAGGTTGTCTGTTTCTGTCTTTCAACACTGTTCTGTAGTGTGACACCACACTGTCAATAGGCAAGCGAATGCATCTCTACGGATGTCTGTAGCTCTGTCCCTTTTCCCAGGGTTTCCTTTCTTCAGAAGAGCTCTGCTGCACTGACAGTTGATACTCCTCCCCTCATCCGGAGGCTCCTCAGCTGCCATTCTCTGTGGCTCAGTCAGAGTTGCCGAAGCTCCTCTGTAGACAGTTCCCGAGTGTCCCTCCCCCAGTTCCTCAGCATCACCATGTACCTGCACGCCTCTGGACTCTGCTGTGTGACAGCGTCATCAACCACAGGGCCAGCAGAAGGCTCAGGCCACACTTTCTTCCAGGCAGTTCTCTGTGTCGTTAGAGAGACAGACATTGGCCCAGGATTTCTCAGTGAAGCCCACACAGAAAAGGGTGTTGTGGTGCTCCTTCCAGAACGTTTTAAAAGTTAAGTCTGTAGCCAAGGCCACCTGAAAGCACTCCAAGAGTAAGTCCTTGGTGTATAGCTTCTTAAAGTTAGGTTTGATATCACCTGTGGTCTGTAGGCTGCAGAAGAGGAGCTGTATTAGGTGCGAGGAACCTGACCGAGAGCCATGGGAATCCTTCAGCCAGTTCTCTAAATACCGTGGGTGAGCAACAGTGTGGCCCATGCTGAGAGGCCTGAGTGGTAAAACTGTCCTCTAGATACTTCTTAACAGTGGGACAGAAAGCCTCCCTGATCCTCTCAAGGAAAAGTACTCCTGATATCCAGGCTTTTGTGTTAGACCTCCACAAGACACCCTAGATCTATTCTTCACGGCTTTATGTTTTCCAAATACCATAGGGGTCTCAGTGATAAAACAAGACAAGCTTTACCCTGAGGTCACCATTCACGTTAGCACAGAGCAGTAAGGTTAGCCTGTCCATAGTCTTGTGGCCCAGCATTTTCTTTTCCTGGGCACTCTCTTCTAAAAACCCAGTTTCATCTCAGTTGAAAATTTGAGAGCAAAAGTCATTTCTCCATGCCATTGTTTCTAAGTGGTGGTGCATGTAATTCTCAGCAGCCCTTTTATCACCATTGGCTGCTTCTCCATACCTAGACATGCTGTGATCCGCAGTTCTTGCTTTAAAATTGTGAAACCACCCCTTACTATTGTGAAATGTTTCATCATTCTTACACCTTTATGTGGTGTTCTTTATGAGATCTGCCTTTCTAGCCCTAGCTTTTTCATAAATTATGACTCAGGCTGTAACTACCATTTGCTTTTTGTTTATCTCCACTAATAATAGCCTTTCTACCTCACCTAACACTGTTGATTGTGACTTACTAATTCAAGTAACACCTTTTGCAACACAAGCTTCCTTACACAAACCTCTCTGTAAGATTGTCAAGATGATGGATTTCAGTGTGCTGTACGTTTTAGCAAGATCAGTCATAGCAACACACTCATATTTCTACAGTTTCCTTCTTCTGGATTGTAATTTCCTTCTTCTGGACTGTGCTTTCTTTACCTTTCCTTTCTTCCTTCACTTCTTTCCTAGCTTTTGGGGAGCCATTTTGATAGCAGCAATTGTAGTAATTCTGTAAAGCACTGACTGAAATCACATTGACAAGCTCTCACATCTGGACGCAGACTGCCCCTTACAGACACTGCTGTACACTTTGCTAGCATCGCAGGTCTTTACTTACAGCCACACAAGTGACCAGCATTCAGGTCGTAGCTCAAGACTTTGTGAGTTAAACCTAAAACTGTGATCTTAACCCAAGTTGTTCTGTGAGGCTGGTCATAACTCGAGGCTCCACTGTATTTGTTTTTTAATTTTAAGTGTTTTCTCATTTTAGGAAAGTATTGACTTTCATTGAAACATTCTGTGGCTTTTGACTTATTGGTCAGAGTTTTTAGTTTCAGACATCAGATCAACCTATTTAAATAGAGAGGGATTTATTCAAGGGAATAAAATCATTCTCAGACACATTGGGAAGTCTAAAGGAATAGACAGTGTTTTTGTACTTCTGGAAACAACTAGAACTCCTCCTGCCACAAAGATGTGTCTTCTGTAGAAAACACGGTGGTTCCATCACTGGAGGCCCAAGTAGCCCTCTTGCCTCTGGGCCACTCCATAAGTGTCAACCACTGCTGCCAACCCCAGATTTACAGACCCTTACGGATGCACCCCTTTCCCTGCTCTCTGCTCCCCAAAGCATCTTAACTATCTCCTGCTTGACTTAGTACATCTGCTTGGCTGCATACTGGTCACATGGCACCCTGACTGCTGGTAAGTTTTGGAAAGTGGTTTTACCTGGGGGAGTATTGTGCTACCAAGGGAGTTTCATACCACATTTGTAGCATCATGTTATACTTTGTGTTATTTCAGATATAGTGCAAGAAGATTAGTATTAAAAGAAACTGTCATTCTTAGATAAATCTTACTTTTATTCTGAAGTCATTTAATTCAAATGTAACCAAAATTTTGGTATTGAAAAATAGTATATAAATGAGTACTCTAATTTGTCCTTGTACATTCGAAGAGTTCTATAATAAAAATTAGATGTACAGTGTTACAGTACTTTACATTTATAAGTAACTCTGCACTTGCATTTTTATTCTCAACTTGCCTGAATAGTTGAGATAGTAAAATCTTTTTGGAAATGCGGAGGTTCTGGTGTTTGAGTTGATTCTAGAGTATGTAGAGGTGGAATTGTATGGGTAACAGTTCTGAGCTCACCTTGAGGAACGTGGTACAGATTCTGTTGTTATCGAGTGCATGCTGAGTACTAAGGACAGATTTTGGTGTATAGCATTG